AAATGTGTGCATCACACGTGACGTCGATGCAACAGGAGGGAGTGTGGCATTTCAAACAGAGGCTGTTTATTGTCCTAAATAATCTGCTCACTGAGCATTTCATCAGAGCGCTAACCACAAGCCATCATAGTCTATGTGCTGCTTTCCAAACAGCAGGTTTTCCAATATTTATAACACACTCAGCAAGACACACAGACAGACTCAGCACCTGTCATGAACGCCTGAAAGAGAAGACAATGAAACTTTGTTGCATTGTTATATCTGTAAAATGTCAGTTAAAAACATTGATCAGTAACTTTGAAAAAAATCCTGGATTTGTTGTGTTGAACTGAAGTGCTGCTCCTACGCTGGCTCTGCAGCCCTGAGGACTCTATCCACTCACCAGACTCCAATAAGACATGCGCTGGCCTGAAGCTCCCTCCTCCTATACACCTCCTGACAGATGTTAGGGAAACAACTTCTTTTCTTTCACGTGTTGGAGACACACTCCTGGACAACCAGCCATACGACAAGAGCGAGTTTTAATAGGACACAATGCCTCGTCTGACAATTGCATTGAAAGCATTCTGCAGGGAGTTCTTTTTCACAACATTAGTCATCCCACCTGATCATTCAGTCCAGTCTCCGCGAGCTGTACATCGCTGCAGCACACAGCATCAGACGCTCAGCCCGGGCTCATCTTTATTCCCTCCCCCCGTCTCCCTATTCACGTGGAGGTCACCGACCAACAGTTGCGTGCATCCACCAACGCTGAAAGTCAGGCTGCTTTTTGCTCGCGGGGCTCAAACAGAGAACGAGAGGGAGGCTGGGACGGAGAATAGGAGACGGGGAGACTTGTTGCGTCCAGCCAGGGGTCGTTTCATTTCAGCCTGACATGGGATAGCAGATTAGAGCCCCTCGCACTCTATTGCTTTCGCGTGCGTGTTCCCGCGCTCGTGCACACGTCCCCGGCCTTGTGTGTGTGTGTGTGTGCGCCATCCATCAACTTCCCGGAGCACCCTGCAGTGCTCCCAGGCTCCAATTATGGAGGGACTTGTCCCTTTTCCCTCTGTATTGGAAGTGATGTGGCTTGCCCTACAGGGTCGACACCACCACTACACCCACATATCTGCAGAGATTCTGCCAGCGCCCGCGGCCCTCCACCGCAGTCCTGCAGAAATGATAATTATGACATCCGCCCACTCAAGAGGCAAGAGATAGTTCAACTCCCTTGCCCCTTGTTCCAGCCCTTCTTCTTTTTGGACTGATTCAATATTCTAGTGCTGCCTACTTTCTCCGTGTCTGAGAGAAGCAGAGGCTCTCCAATATATCTGCAGGCTTCCTCTGTCTGAAAGCAGCGAGCTTTAATAAAGTTTCACAACGCCTCCCCCCTCCCTTGCTCTGCCCCTGAGCCCATTCTCTTAAAAACTGCACACTACTCGCGCAGGTCGGACCAATTTCCTTTCACACCATCTCACACGTTGCAGCTTTTAAAAAAAAACACA